ATATATATATATATATATATATATATATATATAAATATATATATATATAAGTTATGATTCGACTGAAGAAATAACAACACAGCTTATGGGAATGAAGTTGCTTTATTTTAAACTCTTATATATGATTTCAACACTGTATTAATACAACACTTTTATAACCTCACCTTTTTGTTATCTATCAATTCTCTATATTAACATGTGTTTTAAAACAATTATTTAGCTTATCTTAAGAATAATATTATATACATCCTATATACAGTTAACTTATATATATATATATATATATATATATATATATATATATATATATATATATATATATATATATATATATATATATAAATATATATATATATAAGTTATGATTCGACTGAAGAAATAACAACACAGCTTATGGGAATGAAGTTGCTTTATTTTAAACTCTTATATATGATTTCTACACTGTATTAATACAACACTTTTATAACCTCACCTTTTTGTTATCTATCAATTCTCTATATTAACATGTGTTTTTAAACAATTATTTAGCTTATCTTAAGAATAATATTATATACATCCTATATACAGTTAACTTATAAATATACATATATATATATATATATATATATATATATATATATATATATATATATATATATATATATATATATATATATATATACATAAACATATCTATGTCGAAAGAGCGTACTCATTAATCCCAAAATACAGTAAGAGTGAAAGTCTTAATCAGAGCGAAAAGGCTGACCGTGGAGTTCACAGGTTCGACATCAGTTCCTATTCTATTAGTCCGGTCCGCGGTACAGCCCCTCTTTAGCAAATTATCAACATCCGGCTGAAACTTCGTAAATAGCTTCATCTCATCGTAATCTACAAATATTTTATTTACGAAAATTCTCGGAATTGGGGTGTTTTCAATCTGGAGGTGGTCTATTTAATAGGTACTAAAAACTCGTAAATTAACATTTGCTTTCCAATTTAATCGTAAGATAATTTGAGCACAAAGTAGAGAAAAAATGCGAGCCGTTTGGCGTGACCTACACCTCCAAATTGTCAAAATAACGAGGTTGTCAATAAGGCCAAACGGTTCAATATATTTGAAGGCCACATTTTGTGGTCAAGTTATCTTATGACTAAAGTAAAAAACAAATGGATATTTACGAGTTTTTAGAACCTAATTAAATAGTCAAAGTTTGCCGACCTCCAGATTGAAAACGCCCCAAGACAAGAAGTTTCGTAAATAAAATATTTGTAGGTTACGATGTTAATAATTTTATAAAAAGGGCTCCGTACCACGGACTGTATGTTCAAACAAAGATTTTATAATTACCATTTTTGTTTACAATTTTTTATATTTTTAGATTATGCAATTACCAAATCTAATAAAATGTCATTCCTTATTGCAAAACGTCACTAACAAGAGGAGGTCACATTAAAGGGTCAACGATTTCAAGCAAACTTTTTTTGATGACATTACGTAAAATAATCTACAGCCACGTCCCGGTTCGTTCCAATGGGGCTTAGGAATCGAAAAAAAAAATCAAAATCAAATCTCATCAAAATTTTTATCCGTAATTTTTTTAAATCTTAACTGATAAAAATCATATCATGATCATTATTTTTTAACAACATTTTTAATATTAATAATAATAATAATAATTCTTGATTAATACTTTTTAAAATCATAAACATAATTTTTCTATGATATATTTTGAGTCTGGAGTAGTAAGTAGGTGGAGAATATTGTCAACTATTAGCAACAGAACATGTTTATTTCCGAAATTTCTTAGAAATTTTGCCTTACAAACAAAAGATATATTTATATTGCAGGTACCGGGTGGAAAATGTTTTCAGAAATATAATAACAAAAACTGTGTAGGTGAATATTAATATTAATATTAATATTTAATTTAATTTTTGTGCAAAAGGTTATTTTTATTTTCTGATCAGAATTTGATCATTATTATTTAGAAAGAACCTTCTCACTCAGTGAGTGATCATATTTTTTAAGCAAATAAATAAATATCAAAGATAAATTTAAATTTTCATTTATGAATCAGGCATGATTTTTAAGTTAAAAATCAAATATAAAAATTACTAAGCGTAAGTTAAGCGTATCAGTGATGGACATAGATAGCTAAGGAAATTTTGTATTTTTCGGCATATGCTATGCCGCAGTGATTATTATAGTTATGAGTTTCTCCATTCGACGTTTAGAATCTCTAGGGTCACCTTTTTCTATTCGACACTTTAAAATTGAAAACGTATTCAGTTGTGCAGCTATCATCTCCATTTAAAAAAACACATTTTTGTACTAGTGATGGTCACCTCGAAATTCTAATAATGGACAAGGGTTCGGTACCAGTAATGGACATCCCTCAGAAAAATCCTAAAATCTTTGTTTAACTATAAAGATAAGATAAGATAAATGTTCAACTTACTCTTAGCAAAATTGTTGGTAAGACGATATAAAACACATTGATCTCAAGAGCGCTACAGATATGCTCAATGATAGACATTTTAGAATTTTATTAGTTCACTCAGTAGTCAAAAGAAGGCATTGTTCTTCAATCTAGAAAAAACTGGAAAATTTAAAGTCCAACCTGCCCATCATTGAGTCTCTGTCTATAACTGGTGCGTTGACCCTACGTGATTTTGTGAAAAAAAAATATTATCAATTTGAAAGCAAGATTATTATATAATTAATTATATGCTCTCGAGAGGGATGGATTCTGATGAATGAGGTAGAAGATGAATGAACATTTCATGAATTCTTACATTCGTTTTTAGTCTCCTTTAAATGTCTTGAATATGTTTTTTTATATCAATCAAAACTTGTAAATTATAGTTCTTTTCTTGGAGAATTTATTTTCCACGCTGTTAACTAAAGCATCTCTAATTTCTACAGATTTTTTCCAGTCCGTCCTTGTATTTACAGTAAAGATTTTTGGTCTCTTATTCCAACAAATGGGCTAAATGTAATTAATTCACAGCGTACTATCGTCCCAGTATATCGACCAGCTCTACAATAACTAATCAAGAAGATGGACGGAGATAACAGATTGGTCGAAGGAACTCAACCTCCCCCTCCTTGCCTATTTTCCACCCTACGGAGAGGAACGCTTGCTCATTGGCCGACTCACCGCTTCCGTTACTGCAATAATTGAGTCGATCTGTTCAGTTCTCTTAGGTCGAACCCACAACTGTTACAACTGCGCTATACAAAGAGAGAGGCTGCCTCAACATATTCATATATAACATTAACACCTGTACCATTACCTATACAACTCAGGTATGATACGCCTGGGCTCTGGATAATCCACACTGATACCCAGACAAGCCAACACAAGTGAGGTTGCGGTATCCTTCCAGATCGTGAGCTAGGAAGACCTCCCTCAAGGTCCGCCGCGAAAGGGAAAGGTGCCAGTTCCAACGACCTTCTTCTCGAGCGAGGTTCCTCGTCAGGGGTAGCTCAGGCTCCCTAGTGGCACACCTCACATCACCACAATGGCTGAAGGCTTAAAGTCTGTGTGGCGTGTTAGAGGATTAATATTCATTTTAAGAAACAAAAATTATACTTAGATTAATTTTTCCTCTTGAAATGACATGACACTAATAAACAATCAAGAATACTTATAATGCAATAGGATATGTTTTTGAGAGCAAATTATTTTTCAAAACGCTTTCGGGTCTCGTTGGGAAAAGTGAATCATTTAACTTAATAAACGTTCGAGCTGTTCTCTAAGACATTCGACAGATACTTTCAAACGGACAGATCATTTAATAACACTTTTCCCATTTGCTTCTATAAGCTATTTTTATTTATGTTGATATTCATTAAAAAAGCTTACGTGATCTCACGAATCATTCCAGCCATAAACCTTGAAAATCACATGAACAGTTCGCTCAAGAAATCGTTACTTATCTACAAACGGGGAACCACATTCCTCTCATTTAAGTTTCGTCATAAAAGCAAACAAATCGACGATCTACCAATTTTATTACTTACAATTATTTAAATTTTATTTCTGTAACTCGAAAACAAGGTTGTTGAAAATTTGATACATAAAACTCATGTATAAATCTCCTCAATGCGATATTTAAAATGGATTACGTATTACCTATTAATACAGTCTATTACGATTTATTATTGCTCGTAAGACTTCACTCTCCTCAGCACCAAAATATTTTTATGATCTGACCAAAATAAGATGAAAACGAACTATCCTCACTTGTGGTGCAAGAAGCCGTGGATTAGTTTAATTTAAAAAGAACGTTAATTCTATGAATAAATAATAAATTCAATAAAATCATATTTAATTACAAGATAAATACATATTATTGAAAAAAGTTTAATTTAATGCATAGCCATTGTCCATATTAAGCTATTCGTAAAGTAGCATGCCAGCTATTCATGACGATAGCGAAATATACGAGGAAGAACAAGAATGCGGTGCCCACCGTTAAAAATACCACTCCGTTTTCAAGATGGTGATGGAGTTTATTATTCATGAAGATGATGATATATACGGCGATAAAGACGACCACCAGGATCAACTTGATCAAGATGGCGAAGAAGAGGAGGTCCGTGTTTTTGTTGTCGAAGTAGGTGATGACGAGAATGGCGGCGGCCAGGAAGAGCCAGGCGTACGGGGCCAGGAAGAGGGACCGCAGCCAGATCGCCTCGCAGAAGCCTTCGACGCAGATCATGCCGCTGAAGAACATGTAGAAGTTGGCGGCCGTGAAGAGGACGTCCGCGAAGGCGATCAGCAGGGCGGCCATCGGCAGCGGCACCAGGCAGAAGCACTTGGACACTTTCGGCAGCAACTTGATCGCCATTCTGCGGCACCTGCAACATGGCTCCGGTTAGCCCGGGCGTAGATGGGCTCGGATATAGCGGCCTCCGGAAGGATATCCTAACAGCAGGAGGAGCAAATCTAACAAGCTATGTGTAACTACCGTGCCATACCTCTCGGCACTTTAGAGATATCTAACAAGCTATGTACAACTACCGAACCATAGCTCTCGGCACTTTAGAGATATCTAATAAGCTATGTACAACTACCGTACCATAGCTCTCGGCACTTCAGAGATATCTAACAAGCTATGTACAACTACCGTACAATAGCTCTCGGCACTTCAGAGATATCTAACAAGCTATGTACAACTACCGTACCATAGCTCTCGGCGCTTCAGAGATATCTAACAAGCTATGTACAACTACCAAACCATAGCTCTCGGCACTTCAGAGATATCTAACAAGCTATGTACAACTACCGTACCATAGCTCTCGGCACTTCAGAGATATCAGGGGATGGGCGAGTTCAGTGTGGTCATATGGATTACAGTGCCAAAGCTTCGGAGGAAGGGGATATAGAAACTTTTACATATAGGAGTAGTTTAATAACAGTATTTAATGTTATATAATTATTACATATACGGTATATCCAACTTATTTCAGTTAATTTAAATAAGTGATTGCGAAATATTACAGTGGTTGGCGTTCATTCAAAAAATATTAGGACAGGCGGTAATGGCATCTATAGTAGCTCATTACCAACAATAAATTTCATACACTCCGTAGAAAAAATACTTCAATCGTATCATTGATAAATAAAACCAGAAACTCTTCAACATATTTATTTATAATCTCATTTTAAATCTGTACAAACTCAATAAAATTAAAATATTCAACTGTAATAATTTAATCAAAATTAATTTTAAAAAATTGGATATTTTTACCTTCCAGTCAAAATGATACATCTCACTCCTCATTAATTTTTAAACACTATTAATTTAGTTCAACACCTTCCAGGCAAGCAATTATTTTCTGACACTGCTTTCAGTCTGTTTGCAATAGAGTCGACCGATTCTTCGGGGAGATATTTTCTTCTTGATAAAAATTTTGTGTTTAATAAATTCAACCTCCAATTTTGCCCACAGGTGTTCTATCACATTATGATCTGATGGTTATGGTAGAGTTTTTATAACTTGGGGCAGTTATAAAGGAAGGCATTACTTAACTAACATGGCGGAATGTTTGGGTCATTAGTCTGATAAAAATAACATTTATTTTTTTATCCCTAATTTTCCACGATTTCATTCAGGCTTCTTCTCGAAATGTCTATCAAAACATGTTTATTCAGTACACTATGTGAAAAATTTCACACTAAAGTGAAGATTTCCTACAACAGAAGTCGCCATACACTAAAAAACATTACATAAGAAAAGAAGACAAAAGTAACATAACATAAGAACTAGGATGTTTATTGGTGACATTAAATTATTATTTTTAATGCGCCTAAATTCATTTATTCAATAATTTCTACAAATATTCAGGTGTACAGTTTTGACTGTGAGCCACCGTCTGTACTGTATTACTGTTAAATTATATGGCAAGATGGGTGCAGCGCACAACTTCACATGATCACACTGTAGATGGGATTCGCAATGTTTCCTAATAAAACCTGGGATCAGAACATAAACGGACAGAAAGGAAGGATCATTGCACGTTGTAATCTGGGATCAGAACATAAACGGACAGAGAGGAAGGATCATTGCACGTTGTAATCTGGGATCAGAACATAAACGGACAGAGAGGAAGGATCATTGCACGTTGTAATCTGGGATCAGAACATAAACGGATAGAGAGAAAGTATTATTGCATGTTGCACGGAGCGATCTATTAGGGAATCCTCTACACAACAATGAATATAGTTGGCAGGAGACCGCATGGAAGGCCGGGAAGCAGGCAGGCGGATTGAATCAACAAAGAGGAAACAGAGCTGCAGAAATCTGCAGATCGAATGAACAAAGAGGCAACACAGCTGAGTGCAGGAAACTGGAAAGGAATGTCAAGACAGGCAGGGGTGGAGCTGGCCAGAGGTGGAAGTTATGTTACGACAACAGGAAGAAAAAATTAACTCGAAATTTAATAAATCCCATCCCTATTTCCGGAATCTACGATGAAATTCCCAAATTTGAGTTGAGAGAGAAATTCACAATTTACAAAATTTAACAGGATAATTAAGAAAAATTAGGATTTTGTGAAAAATATTTGGTGCGAAACAAATTTAGTCAACCGAACAAATTACCTGTACGAACTGATCGATTTCAATTTTCTCATGGCCTGAAAACGAATTTGAAACCTTGTTTAACACCGGACCCGTTAAATGATCTCTTCCGAAGCATCACCAATAACCTAGAAACTTCACTTACTCCGATAGAACATAATAAGTACTCACCTTTTCTTAATAACAGACTTGAGTATATTTTCATAAAAATATTCTTTCGAAAAAACAATAGTAACTTTTAAAAACCATTAACAACAAGAAATATGTAAAGTAAAATAATCCATAAAAACTACTTATACAGATATCAGGGGCAATCGATTAAATCATGGAATACTATAACAAAAATAAATAAACCGGGTTGCCAAGGAGACAACGTGCATACGTTAAGGGTTCTAATATTTTAAGTTGAATGACTTAGTATAAAAGTTACCACATTAACGATGAAATATAAATGGTTATATTGTAAAAAAAATTAGAAAGAAATGGGTATTAGTTTCGAATTGCATCTCCACAATGGCCGCTGGAGTCAAGATAACATTGAGCGCGATGCAGAAGGAACACCGGAAAAAATCAGTGTAGTATATCTGTGTATCTTAAGTAGACATTGACGACCGAACACCTATACCTCGTAACAGAATATTTATGTTTGGTTAGGTTAAGTTAGTTTATGTCATCATCATGTATACTTTTTATATATGATCCCAAGGTGAACCGATTTATGTGTGATATGATGATAAATGTGTCATATATTTCAAACAGCACTTTTTTATTCTACTCCTCATATGTCTTATGTAGCCATGTCTCTTATGGAACTGCAGGTATGCCTGTTGAAGTCTTTATAATATCGTCAGTGAAGGGTAGTTATGCCTGTTGAAGTCTTTATAATAACCTAACCTACTACTATTTTATTTACGAAAATTCTCGGAATTTGGACGTTTTCAATTTAGAAATCGGCAAACATTGTCTATTTAATTGGATATTACAAACTCGTAAATACCCATTTGCTTTCTAATTGAATCGTAAGATAATTTGATAACGAAATCGAGAAGAAAGGTGGTGTACAAAATATTGGCCGGTTTGACCACTATGACCTCGTTATTTTGACAGGTGGATAGTGAAAGTTACACCAAATGGCCCAATATTTTTGTAGGCCACTTTTTTCTCGATTTAATTATCAAATTATCTTACGTTTCAATTAGAAAACAAATGGGTATTTACGAGTTTGTAATATCCAATTAAATAGACAATGTTTGCCGATTTCTAAATTGAAAACGTCCAAATTCCGAGAATTTTCGTAAATAAAATAGTAGTAGGTTAGGGGTAAATGAAGCTATTTAAGAAGTTTCAGTCAATCATTATATTAAAATCGATCCGTACCACGGGCTACAATATTTATTATTAGAGGAAACACCCGCCCTCCACTTTTCCAGTTTTTATTGACAACTACCAAATTCATCAGACGGAAACAGTAATCTTTCTTTGACTTACCTTCGACTAAAATATGGCGTGGAGCTTCCAATATTGCCACTTTCTCCATTTTTTTATCACTTTATCTTACGATTCAAGTGGAAAGAATATGAGTATTTACGAGTTTTTAGTACCTAATTTAATAGATAAAGTTTGCCGATCTCCAAAATGGAAATGTCACTATTCTAAAAATTTTCATAAACTAAGTAGTTGTAGGTTACGATGAAATGAAGATATTCACGGATTTTCAGGCGGATTTTAATAATTTAATAAATAGGGGTCTGCAACATGAACTATCGGGATTTATTATGATTTAGTCATATAGTTCATGATTTAAATCAGACATATGATTTATGTAAGCGATGAGACCTTATCTTTATTTTTTATCGTAGGATCTTTATTTTTTATAAAATAATTTGTATAATAATGTCAAACATCAAGTAGGTTAAGTGGGAGGTATATCGTAATTATATAATATATTGTATATATCGTAATACTGTATACCACAGGTATCCTAGGAGATAACATAAGAGATGCATTAGAACTTCTTTATAAAACTAACAAAGTATTTAATATAAATTAAATAATATTAAGAATATACATATTTAAAGCTACAAACACAATATTGAATTTTCACTTATAGAATAGAATATAAATGTCACTTTTGTAAATTGCAACTAAATCAGCATCACTAGTTCAAGATGGCAGCTGGTGTTAAGATCACTTCGAACACACGACAGATGGAATTCCAAAACAGGTAGCGGAGACAGTATTGAACCTTGGACCTGACCCGATGTTTTGGTACATGAAGGTTTTATTTTCGATACCTCGTCGATGTCAACACAACTAGATAATACGACTATAATCGGAAACTAGGTTATTGAATAAACAATAATTTAAAGAAAACTAGGCAAACATTTTTTGAACAATTAGCAATATGCTTTCATTGGCAATAGAATCGATTTCATCGTGTCGAGATGTCAGAACTAGACAGGAATACCATTAAAATTTTAAGAACGAAACAGAATTGAGCAAGAAAAGACTTATTTGGCAATAAAAAAAAAAGCAAGAGCATTATCGATTATAGATCGAACGTGCATATCGGTCGATAGATAAAAGAAGACAATAACTCGAGGTAGGTTCGCCAACAGCCTCCTTGATCAGGCAACATTACTGCTTCATAGATAGCTACTAACATAAATTAATAATTGAGCCTTTCTGTTGGCAGAATGACTTATTCCAATCACATATATTATTATTGTTATTCCAATAACATTTTAATGATTAAATTTAGTGATATTTCTAGTGGGAAAATATATACCTATATTCTGCAATATACACAGTTCTGTATTTGAACACTGCAATCACCTCATCTCGAATCAACTTACTTACTGTCTGTACAAATATCATAAATATTCCAACCAGGAATATCACTAAAATGACTACTCAAATATGTCGTAATTGGAGTTAGACATTTTGTCAACTGTTTAATTAAGCTCAATCAGCTATCTAGGTCGACATTTTTTAATCCTAAATCTATTTTGAATATTTTATTAATATAATAATGTTATATTAAATATTTAAACGTTGGCTTTCAATAAAATAGTTTTACCACTATTTAGGCTTTTTATGACCGCAACCCCGGACCATCTCCTTCCTTCAAAATAATGTTGTTTTGTTTTTGAAGATCTAACATAAATTTAAAAAAAAAAAGTATTCATTCCAAGCTTGCGGTCAAGAGTTATTAGAATACAAAAAATATTAGAAGCTACTCATTGAATGCCCACGTTTTGGTCAACATTGGAAGCCTTCATCTGTGCTGCAAAAGAACAACATATAATAAAGGCGAAAATAATCTTTTTTCTATTGGTTTTAAAGATCTATTTCGACCATAATAAGCTTTATTTATCCTTGCCAATCTTGAATTATTACTCTCCAGTTCTCTGCATGCCTTTATCTTTATTGTTTCGATCTACCCGTCTGGTTTACAACATTCCATGTGATTTCATGATTACTAATGAGGCATTTATATATGTGAACAATTTTCTTCACTACCTTAACATCTCTGCCTTTAAAGTTCTTTACTGGTCATTCTCCTCCAAGCGTTTATATTTGGAGTTCATCCCGAATAGCTAGGGTACCGTACGCAGAATATTCCTTTCAATCCTTGTTTCTAGAATGGCTGTTAGCACTCGAATCTCGTAGGTGGGTTTCAGAACTGGCTTTATCATTACACATCCTTAATTTGAGATTTTTTATCTGTTAGCATTACAGACCATGTACATCTTTTGCCGCCTTTGCAGTTATCTGCGTAGCTCTATTAGATTCTGCCTATCCATCTGCTTGTTGGTCTTCCACGTCGTCCTTTACTTCTATAAAAGCATTAATTGTTGCGTAGAGACTTCCAGATGGATTGCTATGAGCTACATGCTCCACCCATCTTAACCTCCGTGCCTTCATATCATGTTATACTGATTGACCAGTTTCTATAAGCAGCCCTTTATTAGTCTTTCTTCTCCATGTGTTAGTACTATGATCCAATATCGTACCGGCTATCGTGCAGAGGATTTTTCTCTCAAATCTCTCAATATTTGTTTCAAGGGTGCTGGTTAGTGTCCAGATCTCACAGCCATATATGAGAACTTGTTTCTCCATTGTAAACCCCTAGTTTGAGATTTCTTGAGATTTTTCGGGTCTTCAATACCTTTCACTAATATATGGGTAATATGAGGGAGAAGAAAGCTCTGTTTGCGCTAGTTATGTGTATTAAGTCTTTTGTTAGTACTAATTAACTTGTATTTAATTACTATTGTTTGTTTTTTTCACTCATTTTAATGTAGATTAGATTGATACATTTTTATACAGTTGCCATTTTATTCAAGAAACTTTTTCGGCAAACTGATAAACCAATGATAACGAGTTCTAATCTAAGCACAGGAGGGCTTTTAGCTCAGCGTATAAAGGGTGTCTAAGTTGTCAATTCTTGTGAGGGGGGCGGGAGGAGGGGTGATTTGGACAAGATTTCCAACAAAAGTTAGTTTCATGCATGGGTCGATTCCGAACGGAAAAGAAGTTAGGGCCAATATTGCGTGGTCGTGTTTTTTATTGAATAAAAAGGAATTGCTCAAAAACTGTCGAAGACAATTATAGTAGTACAACATCAGAAAGAAGACTGTGATTGAACTTACTAAGGTGGACGATGAAAGGGGCCCTGAGGAGGTCCAATATGGCCGCTGTGCTGCTTAGTGGCAGTAGGAGCGGTTGTATCAGTTCTCCTCAAACTGTCTCAAATCAAAAATCATATATAATTTTGTTTTTAGTATTTCCGTTGGTAAAAAAACAATTTGATTCGCGTAATTTAATGAAATAAATTAATGAAATGATTTAGGAATGGCAGCTTGCGGCGTTGGATCGCTAGGGGACCATGTGCATTCTAAGTTATGCAAATTATTCAAAACATAAAGAAAGCAGTATTATTTATTTTGAAATCATATAAATAGGTATCTTGTAAATGGCATAGAAGCTTCAGCGTTAGTTAAAACTTTATTTATTGGCTTCATTAGCTATGATTACACTGAGGACGAAATACAAATATGCATAGATAAATCGAATTAGTTCATATAAAATAAAATAATTCATACTGTACGCAGTAATTTATAATAATATAATTATAGCATTTATTAAGA